TTATCAAAAACCGACTAGACGAGTTTTCACCGGTACTGCCCAACGATTTCGTTTTTCCCTCTCGACACACCCTTACTCGTTTTTTGGAAGGTTATATTAGCGGTTTCCACGAACATCTCCCGATCCTACATTTACCAACCCTGATAGCAGCTGAACTAGCACCGGAGCTCTTGCTAGCTATTTTAGCGGTCGGTGCGCAGTATAGGTTCGAAAGCCATCGATCGAATGCACTTTGGTACGCCGCAAAGGCCGTGGCACTCGAGCAAATTCGACGACGCCATAGTCATGAAGTCCATGGTTTGCTACCTACTCCGGCGGCATATAGTCCACATTCAACACGGCCATCTCCAAGCCACGGTTTTCGTCATTCATTTAGCTCTGTTCAACAAGAGCGTCCAATGACCCAAGATACGCATAGAGAACCATAGTAAGCAACCCTAGCCCTGTAAGTCATAATTAAAGTTCTTTATACTAGCTTACTAACTATTCTGTTAAAGTTCTCCTAACACGCCTCAATCCCGAATGGAAACCATACAAGCTCTCCTACTACTCTTTGCCGTCGGCCTGTGGGGTGCTAAGGCCATCCTTCGCGAAGCCCTGTCGTTACAGAGTCTTTTAGCTCTTCTCGTACGCGAAGAGGGATTCCTATCGGAGTCCACGCAAACGTCAGACTGGGAGGCGTGGGTTCGGATAGAGGGGGCTAACCGCACCAAACTTATCACGTACTGCTTCTTCAACCTTTGTAGCATTGCATACAATATGCCGCCTCTGCTCCTCACCTCAGAACTCAGTCTTATCCTTCCGCATTCCGCAAAACTTTGGAGAGCAGAGACCGCATGGCAATGGCAAGAAGCTCGTCAATCTTTCCCAAGTATGGACATATCTCTCCAAGATGCCTTTTCGAGGCTGTTCAGTCGACCTTCTCAAGGACCACCAGCTTATATGTCCTCCCTTGGCAATTATATCTTGATCCATGCAATATTGCAACACATTTTCCTCTTGAAGCAGACATCATTCAATTCGGTATCTATCTTTGGCGGTCTCCGCCAAGATGACGTGGAAGATTGCTTTCAGGCTCTACGAATCTGGCAGATGAGTTTCGAACAACATCAGGCACGCGTGACGGAGGGCACCCAGCAAAACGGCTCAGACGTATTCCACGGCGGTCCAGTTGCCTACAACTCAACAGCGCTTTGGCGGTTAGCATCAATCCGATTATATACTGATTTGAGCCCAAGTAGGACTCTTGAAACAAGAGATGCGAACCAGATCGCCCAATCCTTTCATGATGCACCATATCTCGTCCGTAGCGTACGGTTGAACCGGGCCGTGTTTCAGGCTATACACGCGTTGTCTATGTTGGTCAAACTAGGAGTGAATTACGTGGCAAGAAGAAAGTCGTCAGAATGGAGTATGCAACACTCATGTAAGTGGCCATTGAATACTTGTAGTGAAAGTCTTAGATTATGTTGTCTAACTTTAACCTAGTATGTAACCTGGAATGCGCCATACTTTTGTCGAAGTGGCTGATGACTCTTTCCTCGATAGGACCGACGGGTGCCCCTCCCGAAGTTGACGAACGAAACCTACTCGAGATGCTACGCCATATGCTTGATGAGACAGAATTCGCAGTACCAATCGATCCATCACTTTCAGGAGGAGGCCCAGGGCATGGCCCAACAAGCATGCATGTGGCTGCCAATGACGGCACAAAACTGCGTCAACTTGCAGTGGCGGTAATCCGTCTGTGGGCCGAGACATTTAAGGGATCGCATATTTTCGACATCGTGAAAGTGATCGGGGCTGGATTAGAGGGGTACGCCGACTTGTTAGAGAAACCGCGAGATAGAACACCATTAGGCCGCATGGTGCCTAACTCAGGGCTTGGCTGATTTGATCCCGGAGAACTTGATCCTACAACTCAAGCACGATTGAACCTTAGGGTTGCTCCTGACGTGCTCAGCTACGTATCGACACAAATCTAGTCGCTACCGATAATTGTATACACGGTTATACATCTAAAGATTTAGCAGTCGAAGCCCGGAAGACGATTGTGCTATTTGTTAAATACAACATCAAGGAGTATTGACACTTGATTACGAATGCCATAAAGACTCACAGACACGGCAAGCTCGGTCAACATAAGCATCGATGCTGCTATTGGTACGATAATAAATGGTCTCGAAATAGCGCTCCTTAAGCATATTTGGCAATTAGTAGGAAAGGGAATATTCCTGTAACTAGGTACTTAGGACCGAAGCCCTCAGTGCTCTGGGAAATCAAACACGTTTCGGAAAAGAGAATAAGGCGAGGGCGCTACGGCATTATTGCAGCCAGGCAAAGATATATAAGTACCTCCGCATTTGGAGAGCTGAAGGTGGTCGATGTCTGTTGATGTTTTTCTACCTAGGAACATCACCTCTGCCATCTTCATGATTATAGGTACCTAGTAGGCATATAGTAGACCAAGATCGAGCTAAAGTCCGATTGATAAATACGATGAGACAAGTACACATGTTCATCTTTGTTTCTGGTGGTGTATTACCATGTGCCTACTCAAGGCTTCCTTTGTCAAAAGCAATTATAATATACGCCATCCGATTACCTGCCTACCTAATTCATCCATCCATGGGCGATCGTCCAATAGCTAGGTACCTCAGCATTGCTCATTTTCAAACTCCAGGGGTCTGCACATGGTGCTGAATAATCCATCGAAGAAGCAATAGGTGGTAGTCACGTGATGGCGTGTATTCCCCGCGATCTAATGTGAGTCAACGCGTCATCAATCGTTTCAACCTGACGTCTTTCTTCCCAGTCCTAAACTTTGGCTAAAGAGTCAATTATATATATTATATATAAAGCGTAAAATTACTTTTCTTTTCTTTGTTTGCGATCATGCCTCCTAAGAAGCGCAGCGCAGCTGAGGCGGCATCTACTCCGCACGCTTCGCGCCGCAGATCCGGTCGCATCGGATCGAGCGGCAAGAAGAGCACGTACTTTGAAAATGTCGATGACGGTGAGGATACTGATGAGTTGAGTAAAGTCGCACCGCCGCGTAAGGCGGCGAAGACGAAGGCTACACCTAAAAGGGGGAAGAAGGAAGAGATTAGAGTTGAATTACTGGATGAAGATGAGAAGAGTGAGTCTGAGTCTGATAGCGGGGATGACGGGGATGGCTATGTCGAGGACAAAGAGGAGTCTGAGGACGAGTCGGAAGGCGAGGAGTCGTCGCCCCCGCCAGTAGTGCAGAAGCGCGGACGTGGGAGACCGCCTAAAACTCCGACTCCGGTCAAAGCTGCAGCTGCGAAGGCTGCGAGTGCGAAGAAGGCCAGTGCGAAGGCTCGGGTCTCAGGTGCGGGAACTAGTAAGGGCAGGCCGAAGGCTCAGAGCAAGGCCAAAGCGAAACATCAGGCGAAAGCTAAATCTGAGGAGTCTGATGCTGAGGAGGATGACGACGATGACGACGACGATGAGGAGGATAATATGATTACTTTTATTCCTGGTGAGTAGGACATCATGATATTTGATATCTTGCCACGAATTATATGCGTAGCAAATACTAATACGGTGCGCCGCAGCCCTGAAACTCAGAGATTTGGATGGAGTCGACTATGCAGATGAGCGGCTTCATAAAAACACGTTTCTTTTCTTAAAGGATCTGAAGGCCAACAATAATAGAAAGTGGCTTAAAGGTAAGACCATTATGACTCTTATAAACCTGGTTTCTATTCTGACTCGGCATGTCTATCTCTAGCAAACGATAAAGAATATCGGAGATCGCTGAAGGATTGGGAGTCGTTCGTCGAAACACTCACGGAGAAGATCATCGAAGCCGACGACACAGTCCCAGAACTCCCGATTAAGGACGTCATCTTCCGAATCTACCGCGACGTCCGGTTTTCCAAGAACAAGACCCCTTACAAGGTTAACCCAACCCATCTCAGTCACACACACAATTAACCTTATCTAACAAGACGATGTCGAATAGGCCCATTACTCAGCCGCATGGTCGCGCACGGGCAAGAAGGGTCCGTACGCAGGATATTACGTGCACGCCGAGCCCGGACACTGTATGATTGGCGGCGGCATCTGGCATCCAGAAGCAGAGTCGCTAGCCCGTCTACGCGCCAGCATCGACGAGCGGCCCCACCGCATCCGCCGCGTCCTCATGAACCCTACGTTCCGGAAGATGTTCCTGCCTAACGCCAAAGCGAACGAGAAGTCTGTGATCACGGCGTTCGCCGCGAAGAATAAGGAATACGCGCTCAAGACGAAGCCGAAGGTATGTCCTTTTTTGAGTCGTGGTTGAGCTAAGATTTAGTTTTAGAGGCTGAGTAGCGAGGACATGCTGACAAGCACAGGGCTTCCACCCGGAGCACAGGGACATCGAGCTCCTGAAGCTAAGGAACTACACCATCGGCACGAACATCAATGACTCAGATCTGACAGCGGAGGATGCGCAGGACAGGATTATGCGAGTCGTCTCTGCCATGGTTGAATTCGTGAGTATTGCGTCGTCTGAGGTTCTTACTTTGCTTCTATGAGCCGAGCTAACGTTTGGGATCTTTGCAGATTACGTTCCTCAACAGTGTGGTCAGACCCGATCCCAATATTGATAGCGACTCTGATGAGCGGGAGGATGGAGGGGCTGGAGGACACGAAGAGGCTGAGAGTGAAGGCGATGAGCTCGAATAGTCTTTCCTTAGAAGTTGATACCTTAGGAACCTGGGTAGTCTTATGATATTTCATGTTAGCTTCATTGTCTTGAGCGATAATTCTACATTCAGCCAATTTCATTGCTACCACGCTTCTCGTTATAACAATCCTTTTTACGTGTGATACCTAGACCCACGCTCCTGCCTAGCCCTATCTATTATCAAATTGGGTATCAATCGCGATTTTCCCAGCATGCAAACATTGCGCATTCCTTCTAACTACAAATATTATACATGTTTCTGTTCACTCAACAAAAGCGCAATATCGACGCAGCATATCTGGAGTCTTGATTGGTCTAGTGGCTAGGATACCTGCTTGTCATCGTTGTTTGTCCTCTAAGCAAATATGAGTACGCAGGTGGCCGGGGTTCGATTCCCCGATCGAGAGTACATTTTTGCCTCAGTGGGATTTAATACATCCTCGCAACGGTATTTTTTTCCACTACATCCTGAATATGAAAGCCAATATGTACCAGCTCAAGCAATGCCTCATGCTGAAATATTCCGTTTTGCGTGGTATTTGGACATGTGCAAAGTATGGTGATTGTCTAATCCACTTATGTAAAACTGACACAGCTTCTCGCACCCCCATATCTAGGTTACTACATGGGACATTTTGATATCTTGACATCCATCTAATCTTTTCAATGCAACTTGCTTCTGAAATCTCAGCCCCTTAGAAAGCAATCGATTATGTATCTTCAATTAATCAATAAGTCCCGTCGACAAACTTGGCGGTAGATCCTCATCTCTAGTACCCCAATCGCTCTCTTTGGCGCCCAATATAAAATCCAGAGTGCCGCCGCTGACGAAGAAATCATGCGTGATCCAATTTCGCGTGTATGGTTGGCCGTTCATTCTAGCGCTCTGAATGTAGATGTTGCGATAGCGGGGTCCGTCGAAACCGCCCACGTTACGCAGCGTCGCTAGTTTGCCTGTGGGCGTTCGGATGCTGACCTCGCGGAACATAGGTGGGGTTAATAGATACACGTCCTGACCGGCTACTGGGTAGAAGCCCATAAATGCGAATGCGGTGAAGGCGCCCATGGCGCAGTCGTCGTTTCCGGGAATGCCATTCACACTTGTGTTAAACTGGGCAGGTATGTATTGGTGTACCCAATAGCTGCTGCGACCGGGGCGGCCGCCGTAGTGGAACTGGAAGGTTGGTAGGAAATTCGGCTCATTGCCCATATAGTTAATACCCGACGAATGAAAATAATCTAGTCGTTCCACGAAGGATTCGCGCCCACCTAGCGCTTTTATAAGGGAGGCCATATCTTGTGGCACGTAAAAAGTGTATAGCCACGGACTCCCCTCGTACGTCTCGTACTGTGTGTCAAAGTAACAGCTATGCTGTTGGTAGATCGGGCTACAGAGTCGCGTGTTCTGGTATCGCCAGGTGCCATTACGGAAGCGAGGTTGAAGGAACCCTTTGAAATCCGACATCTGCAGGGAGCCATCTTCATCGCGGTATCGGTCCTCTTGTTCGGGATTGAAAAGATTCCTCCAATTCCGGCTGCGCTGGAGATACTTCGTCTCGTCGCCACTATGGCCTAGACCCCGCGCCATAAGTGCGATAACAAAATCGTCGTATGCGTATTCCACCGTGCGCGATATACCTCGGCTCATTGGGCCTGTCCCATTCCTGTCAACGTCGTCGTAGGGTATATATCCTAAGTCATGCCAGCTCACAAGACCGCCTCTTCCGCTCGTAGCCCAGTCTTTAGGTTCTTCCTCCGCGTCTGACACTACGGCCTCGTACCCTAGGTTCCAATCGATACCTTCGGTGAGATTCTTGATATACGCGTCTGCAAGAACCACATCTGCGTTGGAGCCCCCTTGAGTGTAACCCTTGCTAAAACTCATACGGCAATCCGGCAGTTTTCCTTCATGCTTGTACGTATCGATCAACGATCTTACCATCTTAGTCTGTATATCGGGATCGATAATCGTAAGTAGAGGGTGTTGAGCTCGGAAGGAATCCCAAATGCAATAAAAAGAGTCATAATAGGGCTCGGTCGAATCCCAAAGTTGATTTTCCCCAGTGTAGTCCTGAGGCGATATCAACGTGCGATATAAACCAGACCAGAACGTCGTTAGGAACTCTTCGCTCATACCCGAATAATCGGGCTTGATCACAGATAGCTTCTCCTTCCAAGCTTTTTGACTGGCCTTCACAATACTCTCAAACCCCCAATCAGGTATCTCGCTCTCCACATTGCGGCAAGCTTGTTCCACGGATATGAACGAAAGCCCGACGCGTGCCATAATCTGATTGTCAGGTGGATGAGCGAAATGGATCCAAGCCCCCGCCGAGCCGGAGGGAATATAATATGCACTTCCTAGGTTTCCCATAGCACTGACCCCCTCCGTTATATTGTTCATTACGAAAACACCTGTTTTACGTATATCGGCGCCCTTGAAGTCCGCACATACATGTGCTGTGTATTTGCCGGTTCCAAAAGAGGGGCTGAAAGTTCCATTCCCTGTTATTCGGCCCGTGATAGGGTCGACTTGAATATCGCCTCCGGTTCGAGTATTGCCAAGGTCTATCAAATCAAGGAGAATGAGAGGGTTAGTAGGTACCATAGCACGATTCGACATAACTTCCGCCTCTTTCGATAAACTGAACCTGTATAATGTGGCATGTTCAGTTGCTGTCATCTCGGCAAAGACCGAATTGTTGAGCCCGATAGCGAAATAGCCCGGTCGCGCTGTCACTGAGCCATCTACTCTTGTGACCACCCTACCATAAGAGGTGAACTTGCACTGGGAGAAATCATCCTCCGGACACCCAGGATGTACGAAGAGAGGGAAATTGCCCAGCGAGGGGCTCTGTTACCAGTTAGAATCGTAGCAACTATACGAAATTCACCAAACTCACTCCGCCGGTGCCTAATCACAAGTTAGCTAGGGTAGTGGGTGAAATGACATGAATACTGAGTACCTGAATCGTGCAAATGAGAGAAACCTTGAATCTTCGAATTGTCTGAGACAAACCCGGCAGCTATCTCGCCACGATTATCCGCATCCGCCACGGCTTTCGCCATTCCTTGGCGGTCAATTAGCGCATGGAGACGACCCAAGTGCCCGCGCATGTATCGAAACTCACCGTATGGCAAAGTCGCGCCGGGAAAAACATGGCCTACAATAGTATTAGTAGAAACACTCAGAGAACATATGAATTGTCGTTGATTTACCTCCATTCGCGGTGCCGATAAGGGGATCAACGTATCGTAATATGTAATCGCTAGATATCCTTGATGAGCCTTTGATAGAGTGGAATAAAGTAGTTGGAGAATTCAACCTGGAAGGGGGGAGCAAGGCCCAGACTAGCAAGGCTATCACTGGGATGACAATGAGAAAACGCCGCCGTCGCGGAAGACTCTTAAGCAACGGCATTATCATCGGTGCCATGACGACCCGAGAACGGCTCAAGCGACAGCTCGCTCGTGGAAGCCTAGTTCACGTATCGATTATCGTGCAGATAGCTGGCAGTGCGGACGCAAAAGCCATTGGTACCAAGGATGGGTCCTTCAATCCCGAACGCGCTCAGCATGGGTCAGCAATGCCCAATCAAAACAACACTGTTCTGCTTTTTTTTTCTCTTCTTGCCCCCTCACCTTAGGTTTGCTATAAAGTTGAAAGAGTCATTCTTCGAAACTCGGGACGAAATATACACCGGACCTAATATTCATAATAATCCAAGCTGCCCTTGCAGCAATATCGCCGTGTTGAGTGCCAACGTGGCCGAGAATGGGACATGCGGGTTGGAGGGTCTCACATTTCGCGGTGTTGCAGACTTGGCAATTAGGGGAATTCGGCTGAATTGTTATTTTTTTGACCAGGGACCTCTTTATGTAGTAGGTAGTTTACGTAGGGTTGCATCGGTATCTAAAAATGGTAGATCTATGGAGATTATTGGTTACTATGAAATGAAGGATAGATGGGCGAGACCAGATAATTCGGATCGGTTGATATTTTTGGTGATGGCAGATGCAGACCTGGAAAATGTTGATAAATTAATGAGGAAGTTGGTCTTCCGATTGAGTCTGTCCATGGTGAACCTTGAAGTGACTTAGTTCGCGGTATGGTCGCACAAGTCACGCCGTCGCACAAAAAACGGTGCATAATATTTCATAAGAATAATGCAATGTTAAAATGCTTATCTTCGAGTGTTTCCCATCGGTGCTTAGGTGATTACCTAAGTCTTAAGGTTAGTATCCAATTCGGACTAAACATTCAATTCGTCATAGTCTCATTTCATCCTAGCATTTCCCATCAATCCAATATTCTATAAGTTGACATAAGAATTATAAGAATTGATAAACACTCACTTAAGGATTTGTGAAAACAACCCTGGTACCTACTTCGTAGCAACCCCATATACTTCGTACACACCTAGGTCCTATGTCTATGTACAATACAATGTACATACTTACTATCGGTAGTCAGCCGCACCCCGCGATCCGCGACCCACTAAACCCCTCCGACGTCATACAGAGTGTACACTGTAGGTAGGTACCTTTGATACTAACACAATCGACAGCGACGTTAGGTATCGCAAGGAATCAAGTAACCTAGTCCTTATGATCATATTGTTATTTCGGTATAACAAACGTTGTATATGATGTTTTTTTGACCAAATTCCATGCATCTTAAATTATCAAAAGCTTCGACCACTCAGCTCCGAAACCGGATAGATCCGAACAGTCAAAATAGCTACAAATGTACCTAGCATAGACATGTACGAACAATCGAAGAATCATGGATAACAGTGCCAGACAAGAAACAGCTTCCTTATACCTTTATATATGTGACAATATACGGTAAGCTTAGTACCAAGTAAACAGGTGAGTCTCTTGCAAAATATATAGGTACATATAAAATTGACGGTTATCTTTCAGCTGATAGGTCAACCTTAAAGTTTCCTCCCATATGTACATAGTACCCCGCTAATATTCCAAGCTCGAGCTGTGGCCCTGATAATTGATAACAAGCCTGAAAAAATTCCCACAAAAAATTTGCAATCTTTAACTACCCTTTATACCAAGTCGTATGTTGACTCATCTCTTCCAACTTCTCTCCGTATTCGCATCTCTGTGCCCAAGTTAACCCTTATACTACAGGTACATAGGTAGTCTCCATTTCTCTACCACTTTTGCAGTTCAGTACCCGGGGTAATCCATCGTCTACGCACCAACTCAGAGCACGCCACAACTCGACAACCTATCAACAGTCGCCATCATGTCTAAGGGTCGCGTGTGTCTGTAAGTTTTCCTATGCTCCTGTCTCCGTGACTAGTAACTAATAACATTTATACAGCGCCTACTCTGGAGGTACGATTTTGGGTTTTACACTACACCCTTGCTAGTCTCTCAACTAATC